ACCTGGGGATCCAGGCTCAACGATGAATCCAGGATCACACCCAAGCTGCGAACCTGCGCCTTCAAGGGGAGTCCGACCCCATCCAGCACAGGCTGTAACCCTATACCCCGTTCGGCCTTACGACTGACCAGGAGGACCTCTGTCTTGTCTGGATTTAATTTCAATTTGTTCGCCCTCATCCAGACCATTACAGCGGCCAAGCACCGGTTCAGGACCTGGACAGCCTCCTTAGTAGCAGGTGGGAAGGAGTGACAGAGTTGGACATCGTCTGCGTACAGATGACACCGCACCCCGAAACTCCGGATGATCTCACCCAGCGGCTTCATGATATTAAACAGCATGGGGGACAGTATAGAGCCCTGTGGAACCCCACAAGTCAAAGGCAGTGGCGTTGAACAGGTGTCCCCCAATAACACCTTCTGGGTGCGGCCCTCCAGAAATGACCGGAGCCACTGCAGAACAGTGCCCCCGAGGCCCATTCCCGCAAGGCGCCCCAGAAGGATACCGTGGTCGACGGAATCGAAGGCCGCTGAGAGGTCCAGGAGCACCAACAGGGACACACTCCCCCTGTCTAGCTCCCGGCGCAGATCATCCACTAAGGCGACCAAGACCGTCTCAGTTCCATGTCCCGGTCTGAAACCAGACTGTGCCGAATCCAGATAATCCGTGTCTCTCAAGAATACCTGGAGTTGTGAGGCCACCACGCTTTCCATGACTTTGCCCAAAAAGGGGAGATTGGAAACAGGTCGAAAGTTGTCAAATTTAGTGGGATCCAATGATGGTTTCTTCAACAGCGGTTTTATAATAGCTTGTTTTAAGCTCGCTGGAATCTCGCCTTCCCGAAGGGAAGCGTTAACCACCACCGTTACCCACTATAAGTGTGCGGGGAGGGTTTATAAAGACTTAAAATAGTGTATAACTACTAAAATAATCTATAAATATTAAAATAAATATAGTGTCCCTACTTTGTGGATTTTCACTTTTCGCGGGTGGTCCCGGAACGTAACACCCGCGATAAGTGAGGGAATACTGTAAATCCACTGAAAATACTTCTCCGGAATCCAGATATAGAAAGTGGCTTGACACATCTTACCAAACAGAAGTTCTCCTTGTGAATCCGCCTTTAACTCAATGTATTTGCAAGAGGCAGTTAAACGATATGTCTTTATGTCTAATGATGTCACACCTTCGGCTAATTGAGCAGATTGCTAATGTGTGCATTTGTGCAAAGAAAGAGAGAGAGATGGTGGAGTTCAGAAACTTGGCAAGAATCTATATCTATAAGTCTGTAAGGGGCGTCCAACGGGACAGCAAAACTCAAAAACTCCCCAACGAAAATTAACCAAAATTCCCATGCACATACCTCAACCCACAAGNGAAAGGACACAAACCGTGTTCGATTTGACTCGCTCGGATCCAAACGCCACATGCTCTCTAGTTCCCTCTTCCCACTGCTGTTCTAGGTTGAATCTTCTGCTCTATGCAACCCCTCCCATAATTGTTCATGTTCCTAAAGCTGGGCCCACAAGTAATTTAATTTCCTATTAAAGTTTTTTTTTCTGAGTAGATGTGCACAGAGTGCTGGAGCTCAACCACATCCTGCACAAGTGTATAGTCCTCATCAAGGAAATAGATTGGCAAACGAGTTCACTGGCAGGAAAAGCCCTTCCCCCATTATCTTCTTTGTCTGCCTGTCTCTGTAATGTCTCCTCCTCCTTCTGTTTATTAGACTGATACTTCTCAGGGACATGCCTCTTTTCATTAAAAGTTTCCAAACCTCATAGCAAGACCCTGATTCCTCAGTTTTCTTGTTCTTGGACACGGAGAGAGACAAGATGTCTCCAGATAGATAGATAGGCCCTTTCCTTCCTATATAGAAATGTAATTATTTCAATAATGTATTTTACAACTTTTCAAGATTGACTCTGCTCCTAAATTGCTGAAGCTCATTAGCTTTACCACTATGTTCAGGAAGCTTCTGATCTGCTGATGTTACTGTTGTTGTTGGTGCATTACGTTTTAAATGCTTTTCCCCCCTTTTGAAATGACCCATTACAGAGATACACCCAAGTCAACTACCTTGAGAAGATATTTGAACATTTGACCTGATTCAGGTTTAATGAGAATGATTAAACAAACCAGTTTTATTTCACAGGAGAACAGGCAGTGTTTAAATATTTCAAAATGCTATGTCTGGTTTACTGTGTTGCCATTTTTAACATAATGCACAATGCCCAGAGAAGAGCATCTAAAGATATATCCCGATAGTAGCGTAAATGTGTATTATTGCCACTGAAGTCCCCTATGTCTAAGCCAATTGTAAATAAAGTACAATCAGATATTCTTTCTGTGATAAGCCCTAAATAATAGCAAAGTCCATTCTCTCACACAAGTTTGCAACATCAGAGGCTGGTTCCATGGAAAACAGCCAATTCAAAAGGAGAGAAGTTTAAATAATTTTGTTAGCAGAATCTATCCCTTATGGAAAGAGAAAGTTAAGTTCTTTAGAGATAAGTGACCCAATGTTGGCAAAAGAGTAAATAGCTTCACTCTTCTAAATCATGGCACACAATATTAGATAGTAGCCATGTTATTTAAAGCAGTAAAATTCTCTTTGGCAATAAATATGGGGGAACTATAACTTAGACAACTAACAATATGCAAAATCCACTGCCTGAGGCAGCTGCCTCTGTTTCCATAACAGGAATAATATTACAACCAAATATCCTAAAGCCACCAGATCCTGTCTGATGGTAGACTCCAAGGAGGGTTAGCCTTGTTAGTATGTAAATGGGGAAACGGTGATGAAAGTATTTTGCACTGTTTATTTTATGTGTATAGGGTCCTAACTGGAATGCTAAGAAGACTTCTTGCCTTGGAATGACTTTAAGAAGGTCTGTTTTTTTCCCTATCAACCGAATATGTGTGCAACCAGAATTATACGTGGTAGTAGTCCACTTAATTAAAAAGAGATTTGTGAAATCTACTGGAATTTTGTAATTGAACCTTTTTTTCAAAGGTACTTTTGAACACATGCTGACTTAAAATTTAAAATGAAGGGATCTTGTAGCACATTTGAGATTGAGAGAAAAAACTTATTGCATCCAGTGAAGTAGACTTAAGTCTACAAAAGCTTATGCCTCCGCCTATTTTCTCTCAGACTGATTCAGACTGACACAGCTAGGTCTTTGAATTTCAAACATATATGGTATATTACACTGGCTAACACATATTTTGGTGCCTCAAATGTAGCCCTGTTTCTGGGTATATATGACCTGCTGATTCCAAAAATGGCACCAGTTTCCGCTATCAGAACATTTTTGAGATGCAAAACATGCCATGGACCAATTGCCCATAAGAAACCATGATACCCATATCTAAGAAACTAGAGCTGATGTAGTCTATACAATATAATTTTCTAAATCAGCATTACAAATAACCCCAGGAGCAGGCCTAAAAATCGAGACATCAAGTTTTTTTTAGCTGTGTTATAGTAAAGTGGAAATGTTAGTCTAAATTACTTTTCAGGAGCTTCCAACTTTTTTTCCATTTGTGCATATAGCAGGATCCTTCAAGTGGACCTCCAAACCAAGCAGAGAGTTGCCTTTGCATTCTGCAGGAAATCCAATAAGACCATGGATACATTCTGTGAATCTAATGGGAAAAACTCAGTAGAGACAGACAGACACCATTGATCTAGCATTTTTTAAATTTCCTGGTTGTTCCACATTTTATTCTGATAGCAGCCTAAATTTTTTGAATCTCCTAGTGTTATAGCCAGAGGATTTAGAGAGGATTAAAAATAACAGATAAAATCCAAGTCTTGGTTGGCCTTGCCTACAAAATTAACAGCTGAGCTGGTCTCCTCCCATTCTTTAAGCCAGGCAATCAGAATCAGTTAACCATCACTAGGGCAACCTGAGTAATAGAGGGCTCACCTGCATAAAGATAAGATTTTTAGGAAGAAGTGGGAGTACCCTGGCTCCACTGTTGATAGCATTTTGTTTAGACTATCTGTTAATGTGAATGTTGGAGTTTTGACTTGGTCTGGAATCATCAACTCACCGAGTTGGAAAGGACCTCAAGGACAATCTCGTCTGGTTTGTGGCGAGTTGAGCAATCCACAGCTGAAGCACTCTTGATAAATGGCTATCTAATCTCTGTTTAGAGATCTCCAATGAAAGAGAACCTAACCGCATCTCAGGCAGTTTAATTTTAGTGGAATGTAATTTCTTGTAATACTAATCTAGTGGTTAAATCTTACCTTCTGGAGTAGCAGAAAACAAGCATGCTTCATTTTTTACCTGACAGCTTTGAATATTTGAAGTTGTCACCTCTCAGTTTTCTCTTTGTTGGGGTAAATCTACCCAGTTCTGACATAGGTCACATCTACACTGATAATTTAATGCAGTTTAAGCCAAATGTTAAAGTAATTTAACTGTATGTATGAAATCCTGGAACCAGTTTGAAGCCTGGACGGTGATTATGCAAACCACCGAGGACTGAAGCACATTGGGGGCTTTCTTTTCTGTGCTTTTGTGAACATTTGTTGTCTGGCTGGTGGAGTTTGCCACTAGATTTGAACTGCATTAAATGATTAGTGTAAATGGGGCCATAGTGCTTAATTTTTTTATTGTTTATCCTCTTGGTTGCCCTGTTCCAGTTCTGTCTCATTGATATTCCTACTAAATTATTGCACTGCACCAAAGGTGTTGAAGAACTGCTGCCAAAGGGGAGAACAACTAATGCAGTTCCTTAACAGCTTGCTTTGTTGGTAGAGATTAAGAAGAAAAATAATATATCTATTACTTGTAAGACTTTTTATTAGGTGCTGTGTGCTGCTAACATGACTATCTACTACACTTTGTAGCATAGAAATCCAGAATTTGAGGGTTTACACACTACAGTCAAAATGACAGAAGGAACTATAGAAAATAATGTTTCATACATCACAGAATCGTAGAAACATAGTTGAAAGAAAAATCAGAGGTCAATTAGTCTAAGGGGCCAGAATTAGAAGGAGGAAGAAGAACTATCATTTCCCTCAAGTACAGTTTTTAGCTTGGCCTATGGGACCAAAATGAATATTTAAAAGGTTAGACAGAATCAGAGCTGGCCCTGGCTGCAGAGCAGATAGATTACAAATAAAACCACTTGTTAAAAGACAAATTGCTGCATGTCCTAATGGAATAAAACAGATCTCTGCTTTGGTACACAGTTTACTAAGTGTAAAAGATGCAAGTAGAAATCAAACTTAAGCAAGCAAGGTAAATGATCTACCAACTGAGCATTGGTTTATCAGGTTAATAAAGAATCTGGAACTTTTCTGTTTGAATATAATAGATTACTAATAACCCAAGCAGAATGTTATGAAAGGTCTGGTTTGAGAACCAGTAAAACAGTGTAGAGAGAAAGAGTCACTGATCATGAATTATACAAACATTTAAAAGGAGAAGATAAAAAGAGATTTTGCAATAAATCAAAGAAAAGTTAAAGCATCAAAATGTAAAGAAGGAGAATACATGATCATGACATTACAAGAACAGAGTTCTTTAAATTACTAACTGTATTTCTTCATTAAACTTTCTGGTGGCATCATGCAAGCAAAATGAATGTCATGCAAGCAAAACAAATCTGATTTCAGTTACAAAACCAATTCAAATAACTGCACTAATGAAATGTTCTCCTCAAACTAAGGTAAAGTAAAGTTAGTACATCTAAGTGGGATAATTAGCAGTCTGCAAGAATGTTGGCCAGGAGATGCCTGGATGTTTTTTTTTTTGATGATTTATCATCCTTGTGGGAGGTTTCTATCATGTCCCCACATGGGGAGGTGGAGCTGACAGAGGGAGCTCATCCATGGTGTCACCGGATTCGAACCTGCAACCTGTCAGTCTTCAGTCCTACCAGCACAAGGCTTTAACCCATTGCACCACTGGGGGCTTCAGAAGGTACTTGCAGTTTCTCAAGTTGCTCCTGACAAGCACACACACAAGTACACCTAAGTACTAACAGGCACAAATAATTTAAACTCGGAGGTACATTAATATAGTGAAAAGCAAAACTACATTTAGAACCACAAAAGTAAAATTAACTGAGATCCAAATCTAAAAGAAAGGAATTCATAATTTTTACTAAAATCCATTTTCTCTTTTCCTTTGCCATAAAAACACATATTTAAATATTTTTGTGCATGAAACAAAGGCCCCCATCTACACTGCCATATAAGAAAACTGCATCATTTTGTCAGTGTAAGGCCCCTTCCACACAGCTGTATAAAATCCACATTGACCTGGATAATATAGCAGTGTGGACTCAGATAATCCGGTTCAAAGCAGATATTGTGGATTATCTGCCTTGATATTCTGGGTTATATGGCTGTCTGGAAGGGTCCTAGGTCATATAATGCAGTTCAGTGCAGTTATTCTGCATTCTATGAGTCTACACTGACCATATAATGCAGTTTCAAATTGTATTCTATGACCGTGTAGATGGGGCCAACATTTATATACATTGAAGCATTAAAAAGCATATGGACAATGTTGGAGGATTTCAGAATGCTCCATTTGTAGCTCCAGATACTCATAGTTACTTCTTCAGAACACTATTCTTACCCTTTATTGATTTTGGCTTCTGTATCCATAAAGTGGGGGCAGATGCAAAAGATTACAAACTTCTTGCACCTTTAATAACGAGTAAAAGAGGGTGGACTTCAGCATGTATGTGGTACATAATAAGCTAGATGTACTGAAGGTACCATTCTGTTCATTTATTAAAGGTGTACAGGCCCTGCCAGTTTTGTACTTGGCCATGCCAGTCTCGGGAATCTGAATTTAGCCCTGTTTCAAAACACAGTTATAAGACTATTGGCTGTTTCCTCCTGCACAATAAAAATTGGATACAGTTGTTTGTGGTGGGAGAGGATAAAAGTCTAATTAATTCCTGCCTCTGTCTCTAAACATCTTTATTCAAAAGTTAGAAAATAAACTTTACAAAGAGTATTCATGATACTTCTGATGAAAAGAAACACAGATACGTGGTCTATGAGCAATTTTTTAAAGAAAAGCTTTGGGTCATATCTTTATTGGACTATTAAAATCATTATAAAGCAGGGAAACTTTCAGATTTCCAGGACTCTTCTTTAGGCTGGTTGTTACAGAATGTGGAATGGGGTAGGTGATGATAAAACTCCCTAAATCATCCAGATGGTGATTACACAATCATACAGCATGGCCTTGAACTGGTTCCAGATCTACAGTATGGAAGGCTTGACAGCCACAGAGAACACATTCCTGCACCAGAATTGCATATGCGCATCAGCAAAGCGCTTCAGGCATCTATTCAGCTGTTCTCATTCTGCAGAAACGATTTTACCATACAATGAAGAAACATTGGCGCACGCTGATGTGCATTGAAGGCTTTCTTTTGGAATTTCCCCCCAACTTTGCTTATCTCTTTCAATAGCTTAAAGTGGATTGAAGTGTGCTTTTGCAGTGTGCATTGTATAGCCACTACACTTTGAAGCTGGCTCCAAGATGCATTCAATTGTCAGTACAGATGGGGAATAAGTTTCACTTCTAAACTTGTGCAGAGGTTTTCCATCTTAATAGACAAGGCATGCACTGAGTTATCCACTGCATTTAGTTGAAGTATATGGCTCCTACATCAGCTTATGCACTATAACAGTCTATGTATCTCAAATTCTGTATCACTTCATGAAGAGAACTGCAGAACCCACTTGAATACTCAATTCTTTAATATTTTAGTTGGCCAATAAGGGTACAATGCAAGCATGACCTTAGTCATACTCGATTCAGAAAGACAACAGCTATTGGCTGGATAGCTCTCTCTCTCTCTCTCTCTCTCTCTCTTGCTGATATGCCACATGACACAGCACTGACTCCCAAGGCACAGATGCATTCTGGGACACATATATGGAACTTTCTCTTGGTTATGTTGAACTAATCCTTTCCTCAGCCTTCTTTATATGCAAATGACTGTGGTCTGCCCAGTGATGTCATGGATTAGAAGCTGTGGAATGGCAACAGTGACAGCAACCACATAAACAGAATCTATACATCTCTTGGTCATTATTTTCTGTTTAACAGCAGGGAAAAAAGTCCAATACTTTTAAAAATAATATTTCCTTCCCAAACTACAAGGAAAATCACCTTGCTCACTGTGTGCTGTAGTAATGGAATTCCAAAAGTTTGTTACATGGAAAAATGTACCACCTCTTGTTCCCCCAAAAGATGAGGCTGAATCTTCATCCTCCTCACATTCAGGAAGTGGAAATGAAGTTGAACCGGAAAGTGAGACTGATGCCAAACCCATATACACAGCCCCGAAACATGAAATCACAGTGATTTCAGAAATTGACGTGCCTCCCGCTGTGAAAAATGTGTTGGAGAAACTGGAAATATCACAACTGGAAAGAGCAAAGAAGGTATGTGTCACTGTTTTGTTTTTAAATGGAAATCCTGCCTTGGAGCAAGAAGACCTGATTAAGCAGGAGGCCAGGTATGTGTGGTTTCTGATAGTCACCCAAAAGGTTTCAATGGTTTGTGGAAGGATTTGAACCCTGATCGTATGTGTGTGTATATATGTGTGTGTGTGTGTGTGTGTATCTTTATTTAACTACAGAATGGAAACTAAAAACATATGTAAAACTCCACACACACACCCATGTATATTGACCCCACTCAGGATAAAAGATATGCAAGCTTACTCTAGATTTTTTTAAGAGTCTTTAAACCGTGCAATGAGTGTTCAAGATATTGTGTAAACTGGCTAAAGTCAATTGAAAAAGATGCATTTCTTGGATCATAGTTCCCAGAATCCCCCAATCACTGATCATTCTATCTGGAGGATTTGGGAAGTTATAGCCCAAAAGTATCTTTTAATTATTTAGGTAAAAGGTAAAAGTTTCCCCTGACCTTAAGTCTAGTTGTGTCCAACTCTGGGGAGTGGTGCTCATCTCAGTTTCTAAGCCAAAGACCTGGCGTTGTACGTAGACACTTGATCTACTCACATTTGCATGTTTTCGAAATGCTAGGTTGACAGAAGCTGAGGCTAACAGCAGGAGTTCACCCCGCTCACCGGATTCGAACCGCCAACCTTTCAGTTAGCAAGTTAAGCAGCTCAGCAGTTTAACCCACTGCACCACCAGAGGCCCTTTTAATTATTTACTATTGCTATATTTGTACTGGCAGGAATGGGAAGTGGCACTTGTGAGATTTTGTGCCTGTGGTACTAAAATAATTTGTCATGCCTCAGGTACTATGTTCTGTGTACTTTGATTTTAGGGAAAAGGAAAATACCTTATACTTAATTTCAGAAAGCCAGTGGCTTTTCATGTTTGAAAAGAAAAGGGTGTAAGAAGGGGGGACTTAACTCTCCAGCCAGCTCAAGCAATGTATACTATTGAACTATTGTCAAGAGTAAACTCACTGAATAAATCAGATTTATAGAGGTATTGATTTACTAGGTTCCCATTGATTAAGTGGGATAATCAACTAGAAGTAAACCATTTTTGTAGCACTCAGCCATTCCAAGGGCACTTCTTTCCTGAAAAACCAATCTTCTTTCAAAACAAGCAATTTGCTTTTTAAATAGATAACACTCTCTATTATTGTTTGATGTTAGATAATATCCGTTTTTTAAAATTCAGAAAAGGACTTCTGGCCATTTCTGGTTTGGGGTTATTTGGGACTTAGGAGGGGAGCATATTGGGCATGCCATTAAAGTCAATCAGGGGCTCTCAGACAGAATATTAGGCCCCAGGCCTGCTACAGTGGCCCACCCCTGTTCTAAATCTGCCCTCTTCTGCCCTTCTATTCCAGATCTCTCCAGACTACTTTAAAGATATTTTGGGTCTTGTTACTGTGCTGTACAAATTTCACTGTGGGGTTGCCTCATACTACTCCAACTTATCTTGATGGGTGGGTGGGAAGGAAGTGGCTTCATTCTACTGAACTTGTTTAGCAACCTTCTTTCCCACCTTCACATTCAGTTTTGGGGGAGGAGGAAGAAAATGTTGTGGGGGAAAATAGGAATCATTCCTCCCCTTGGTTTCAAGGATATATTTGCTAGCTCTTTCTCATTGTATTTTCAAGCAGTCTTTGCCAGTAGGCATCAACGGAACTCTGGAGCTATTAATAACGTCTAGCTATAAAATCGTCCTGCACAACTCTAGTGCTTTCTCGGGGTGGGATAATGACTGAACATGCACCCTTGCTTTCCCAGAAGCAAAATATCAACTAGAATGTTTGAGGAAAGTAACATTGTTCAACCTGCTTTAGCTGTTTTTCTCTATTTTAGGAGAGCCAACAAGGCCTGGGGGGGGGGGGATGCCTGGGGGTACATCTAATTGCAGTTTCCTTGGATTTAAACTAACACGGATCTTTGTTAATGTCTATGAGTTTTTAAGAATACTGTGAGATAGCAGAGTTCATCTCAAAGCCATCTCTCCCATTTCTAACCTACTGCAAGCAGCATGAAATGTCTACGGCCAAAATGCTGTTGAAGAGTTAGCCTGTACAATTGATCTCAATGAGCTTTTCAGACTCCTCCTTCTCTGATAGTTACAACATTTGAATTGGTGTATGACACTTAAATGCATGATAAACAAATTGCATTCATTAACATGTGCATTCCTCCCAGCAATTGTGTTTTCAGGGCAGAGGGAACACAAAAGACGCTCCCATGGAGATCCCAGCCAAATTAGATCCTTCCCTTTGTTTATTTGTCAGGGTTCACTGCTACAGTATTGATGTCTCTCTAACTCCTGCAATGTCCAAATAGAAGAACAATGAATTTTACCTGCATTAAGAATGTAAGAGACCTGTTGAGACAGAGAAAGATCTGTCTGAAAGTAATTGAGCCTCCCATTTCCAGTAATGGCTAAGGAAATGCCCCCAGGAAACCCATAAGGAAGTAACAAAGGCAGTAGGCCTCTTTGCCTGTTACTCAAGAAACACACATCTACCCTTGGGATGCTTCTGAAACTGAACGTTCCACCTAACCATTTGATGGTAGATGTATTTCCTATTTATTTGTTACATCTCCTTGCAAAAATTATCTAATCTACCGGTCTTTGCCTGGCTCTTTTTATTCACAAAGACATATTCCATGTTGAGATTATTACACATCTGTTTTTCCAGTTTACCTTTGAGGGACCTCCCCATGTCTCCTGCTGCCACAAATTCTCCAGGCCCAGTTAAATAGAGAGTGCCTGCTTCCCCACACACAGGGTCGTAGCCAGAATTTTTTTTTGGGAGGGGTTGAAATTTTCGGGGTGTGTGTGCAAATTTCACGGGGAGGGGGGGTAGAAACCTGCCTCCTAGCTCACGCTGAAGCCAAGAGCACAGCAGGGGGCAGAGCAGCCTTCAATAACCTGCAGCTCTGCCCCTGTCAACCAACTCCACCAAGTCTGGTCTCCTTAATGAGAGCATTCAACACTCCCCCCCCCCCACCTTGGTTGCTTCGCTACATCGGCTATTGCTGCAAGTAATGACAGTGTGAATAAATTGTCAATATTTGCTTGAGATTGCTCGCAGTTCTGGAGGGACTCTTGATTTTTTTGCATCTCATAGACTTAGCATGGGGATTTGGTTAATCAGTTAAAATTCATGAGTAAACCAGGTTTTTTTAAAAAAATCTGAAACATTTCGGGGGGGGGTTGAACCCCTAAACCCCCCCCCTCGCTACAGGCCTGCCCACACACCTCTGTCTCTACTCTGAAGAAATCTTGGAATCTCTTTAAAAGCCATGCCAGTGTTCCCAGTACCACGAGAGAGGCATATGAGTGATTATGTGCTAGTTTCCAGATCTGGTGGAGAATGCTTTTTGATGGAAGGAGGTAGCATGGAGAGTGAAGCAGTACCATTCTAAGGGCCCTTCTAAACATGCTGTAAAACCCGGAAGTAACCGGGTTAAAAGGGTGTAGTGCGGGAGGGATCTGGCTAAGAGCTAAAAGGCATGCGTTAAAGAAGTGTGGTTAAAACACAATTCCACCAGGAAAATGTGTACCTTTGCATGACTATATATCCCTGCAGTTATGCAAAACATGTGCTTTCCTTTCCTCCTCCCTGTGCAGACTTCTCTAGCGCATGTGCGCTTTTTTAAAGCCCAAAACAGCTAATCAGGCTGTAAAATGAACAATCAGGTGGTTCAAGGGAAGTACAAATGAAGAGCAATTAGAACTCTCTGAAACTCTTTATTTACACTTTATAATATTACACAGAAGTTGAAGTAAAAATTGGGGGAAGAAAGAGATCCAACAGAAGAAATGTTTAAAAATTCCCTCTGTTATGTGCTGGACCTTATATGTGTACATGCAAATCTGCTTGTCTTTATATGTGCACAAATACGGTTTAGCACATAAAGGAGGAAATTTATTTTTTTTTAAACTTCTGCTGGATGTCCCCCATCCGCCCTCCATCTTGATCTGCTTCAAACAAAGGCCGTGAGAATGGCGGGAAACCATATCCCAGGACTGACAGGTCTGTGTGTGGGCCTGCTGTCAGATCCCGAGATTTTTTGACTTAGTTATAAAACACAGGTTTTGTTGCTGTCCGGAAGCACCCTAAGAATATTTTCCACAATAAGATCAGGGTAAAACATACATTTGGCTCCCCATATCCAAGGAGTGAACCATCCATGACTTGATTTTTTTTTTTACAAATTTCTATAAAGCAAAGCTTGATTTTGCAGTTTTATATCAAGGACACCATTTTATTTTTAGGTTATATATAATGAGATTCAAGCACTCATGGATTTTTATATCCACAGCAAATTATAGCTGATATTGCAGATCCTTATTTCACCAGAAGCCAGAATGTACTGTTGTGGTTCTTCTAGCAAAGGCTTCAGAAGATTGTTTTAAAAAGGGTGAGGGAGTCACATAACCAAAGACTGGGATCTCAGATCATTTATTTAGAAGTCAACTGTAGTCCTCCTTTCTCACTGTGTTCTTATAGGAGGTCTCTAAGAAACTCAACCGCATTGTGGACAATGTGAACCGGACCTACGAATACTACAAAAGAGATGAAGGGACTGACCCTGATATGGAAAAAGCGTACCAACAGTCCCAGTCGTGGGAAGAGAGAAGCCGGCGATCTCATTTTCTAGATAAGGTTTCTAATGTGCTTGAAGATAGCCAGTTAAAAATACAAGACTTACAATTAGTGCTGGAGTCATTTAAAAGCTGGTGTAAGTCCTGTGATGGTGTGAATGAAAATCAGGGAAAGAATAAACATGTTTTGTTTTCTGGGAAAGTTTTATTAAAAGGACTAGAACTAAAAAAGTGTGATATTCCATTTAAAATAATAATAATGTCATTACTTTGGGGACATAACAAGCACTTGTTTCCTCCAAAATGTTGTCTCAGAGGCGGGTAATTTAGGCATATCTGTGGCAGTTGGCTACATGTTTAAACCCAGCCAACAAGAGAAGAAGGAATTATTCCCCGACACAGTATTTTGTAGTTTCTGTTACTGCAATGCTGCTAGGAAGAATAAATTCAGGACCACTGCTATCCCTTCCCAATATCTTGTGTTTTCCTCATAACTGGAGAATTGGTAGCCTAGCCTTTTGGAATAGTTACAGTGCTGAACTAGTTTATCTGATCATCCCATCAGTCTTGAAAGCATCCTGAACTGTTCAGAGCTGTCAAATTTCCTGCCTAACACCGTTTGTCCGCTCTGACTAGCAGTAGCAACCTAGGGCTGCAGTGGATAGAGATGCTTGCTGTCTGATATCAAATAACTTTTTAAGTGGGATTCAGCTGGTGAGCATGTTCTTGACCACAGAGTTTGAGTTCCTGCCAGAGTTTGGAAGCAATGAGTTAAAACTAAGGCTATATCTACACTGCATTATATGAGCCTACACAGACTATATAATGCATTTTCAAACTGCATTATGCGACAGTGTAATGGGGCCTAACATTGGGCAAATCTACACTGACCATTTATTCCAAAGGGCAGGTGAATCAGATCTGTGGCAGCTGATTTGGATTAATGATCTGGCCAGGATGGTCCATGCCTTGGTCACCTCCAGATTGGACTACTGTAATGCGCTCTACGTGGGGCTGCCCTTGAAAACGGCCCGGAAATTCCAACTGGTCCAATGGGCGGCGGCCAGGTTGTTAACTGGTGCTCCTTACAGAGAGAGGTCAACCCTCCTGTTTAAGGAGCTCCATTGGCTGCCGTTCATTTTCCGGTCCCAATTCAAGGTGCAGGTGCTTACCTACAAAGCCCTAAATGGTTTGGGACCCGCCTACCTGCGTGACCGCATCTCCGTATACAAACCCACACAATCTCTCCGATAATCTGGAGAGGCCCTGCTCACGATCTCACCTGCATCGCAAGCGCGATTGGTGGGGACGAGGGACAGGGCCATCTCTGTGGTGGCCCCCTGACTCTGGAACTCTCTCCCCAAGGGCACCAGACAAGCCCCAACGTTGGCAGTCTTTAGGAAGAGCCTGAAGACGTGGCTGTTCCAGTGTGCCTTCCCAGAATAGGAAACTCCTAGCATCATGTCCCAAATGCACTTTATTAGAGATTTAAGATTATCTGCACACCGCACCTATCTCCAAAAATCTATCCATTTCACCTGTCATGTCCAACATTTTAAAATTTTTAATCATTACATTTGGCCCGGCCTTAGTTTTAAATGTGTCGTGGTGTTATTGTCTAATGTTTATTGCTATTGTTTTAATGTTTATTGCTTTGTTTTATGAGTTTATTTATTGTTGTATTTGTTATGCTGTTGTTTTATTGATGTGTTGGGCTTTGGCCTCTTGTAAGCCACACCGAGTCCTTCAGATGTTAGCAGGGTATAAATAAAGGATTATTATTATTATTATTATTATTATTATTATTAATGCAGACCAAGGGTCCCGAGAATTGGAAGCAAACTACAGCTTTGGTCCTGGGTAAGCAGGCAGAACTGGCCACATCTGAACCAGTGGCTTGAACCAGTGTCTGACAGCTGTGATGGACTGGATGAGGGCTAACAGGTTGAAGCTTAATCCAGACAAGACAGAGGTCCTCCTGGTCAGTCGCGGTGCCGACCGGGATATTGGGTGGCAACCTGTGCTCGACGGGGTTACACTCCCCCTGAAGGCGCAGGTCCGTAGCTTGAGAGTCCTCCTGGACTCAACGCTGTCGCTTGATGCTCAGGTATCAGCGGTGGCTGGGCCTTATTCTTCCTACCAATTACCCAGATCATTTCCTCTCATCGGCCCCGGAATGAACAGCCACAGACCCGCACCTAATATTATTGTTGCTTGCCATAGCATTGCACTTAATTCCCGCCCCCCCCCCCTAGAATTTTTGGGCTTGCACAAATCTTGGCCCGACCTTTTAAATTTTTTAATTGCCTTGAACAGGCAGGATTACTTTTAATGTATGTGTGTTATGGCTACAATTTTTATGCTTATATTTTGTTTTGTTAATTTTATGGTTATGTTGTTTATATTTTGTTTTGTAATGTTACCTGGGAACCGCTCTGAGTCCCCTCAGGGAGATGGAGCGGTATATAAATAAAGTTATTATTATTATTATTATTATTATTATTATTATTATCTGTTTACATGGCCACCCCATATTCCCCAAGCTTGGGTGACTTGGGGAGATAATAATATAATTATAAAACTTTATTTATATCCCACCACCATCTCCCTGAAGAGACTCAAGGCAGCTCACAAAAGCACTCCAAGGTGCAATACACATAAAATACACAATACATAGCATATAAAATGATGACAATGATTTGTAATGGGATCCCCCTCCTATTCTTCTTCTTGTCATGGTGGCCAGTGGGCGCAACATAACTGTGTTGGTCACAACCTCAAAGTGGTGTTGGCCAGTGGGGTATGGAAATTCATTGTTTTGACATCTGATGGTTCCTTCAGGCGATGACCAATGGACAAGAGTCATATCAGACCAAATGGCTGCGTAGACAACGAGATCAGGAGGGGGACTGTATGGGTGGCCCATCTGAAGTGGTGGTCTGAACCATCCTGGAGCCAATCTGGCTTTTGCCACTCTGGAACAGCTCTGCAATAAGTGGTCTCTGTAGAAGCGCTCTTAGTTAATTGCCTGAGGTTACTTGGGAAGTGGGGCTGAATGGGGCACTTTTCAAAAGTAAATGTAACGAGTAAGAGTAGTGTGTACAGTACAAAGTGGTACAGTACAAAGGTGGCACATACCTTAAGCCCAGCAATGGGTTAAACCCTTGTGCTAGCAGGACGTCAGCAGTTCGAATATAGGGAGAACGGGTTGAGCTCCCTCTGTCAGCTTCAGCTCCCCTTGTGGGGACATGAGAGAAGCCTTCCACAAGGATGGTAAAACATCAAACATCCAGGCATCCCTAGGCAACGTCCCTGCAGACGGCCAATTCTCTCACACCAAAAGCTACTTGCAGTGTCTCAACTCGCTCCTGACATGGGAAAAAAACCCCTGAAGCCCAGAGCCAACATGTACATCTTAACTGGACCTCAAAAGACTCAAATTTTAAAAAGCCTTTTTATAAAAAAAACAAAAACAAAATAACTTTGGGACTCTGTAAGGCAGAAGTGCAGCCTGAAAATGTAAATGTATGGCACTTCCCAGGTTCTTTGGATCCACTGAATGTCAAAGAGCCTTTCGCTCTAAAATACGTCCTTCCCCCCAATGCCCTCTGGAGTATGTGTGGGACATTTCTATGATGTTTGGAGCCCCATACATCTCCTAGGGATAAAACATTTGCAAAAATAAAACATTTGCTTTTCTCTCCAAATGCAATAAAAGCCTCCCGTATAGTGAAAATGCCCCCCATTTCCCCTATGGGGCCCTTTGGTGTCACTTGGGGGCAAAAATTGGTCACTTGGGATTTTTTGGGGAGCATCCCCCAAGCCTTCACCATTTGCCCACCTGATTATAAGGGTTATGGTGAGCCATCCTAACACATCCATAGCTATTTTAGGCAGGGAGAGCCTCCATATTATCACCACAGCAAGAGGGGTTTTTTTTCATGTCAGGAGCGACTTGAGAAACTGCAAGTCCCTTCTGGTGTGAGAGAATTGGCCGTCTGCAAGGGCGTTGCCCAGGGGGCACCTGGATGTTTTGCCATCCTGTGGCAGGCTTCTCTCATGTTCCCACATGAGAAGTTGGAGCTGACAGACAGGTGCTCACCGCACTCCCCGGATTCGAACCTCGGACCTTCCAGTCAGCAGTCCTGCCAGCACAAGGGTTTAACCCATTGCACTACTGGGGTAGGTAACTGGTCCTAACCTCTTCTTTAGTTATATTTTAGAAGAGCTGAAGAAATACCTTGGCCTCTTTCATTTCAGATTGTTTTACTGCGGGCTTTATTTTTTGAAAAGAACTCAGATTGTACTTTTACACAGTGAGTACTTCTGTTCCATCTCACTTGGATTAAAATGTTTTTCGTAGATGATATGCTAAAAAGAATTGAATTGAAAGAAAAGGAAGTTCCCACTTACAGCATGATCGACGAAATGGAACGCCACCTAATGAAATCCGTTAACTTAATTGAAGTAAATGTTCAGCGTCTAATGAAGATATTCTACCCTCTCGTTGATGAGAAAAGCAAGCCAAGGCGGAAGTCAGGTACCTTGCCATGGTAAATCTGGTATTGAGAAGGAATCTATATTTGATATATCATCCAAGAAATTGAAACGAAAGCAAACCAAAAACGTGGCAAAAGTTAGCCACACAAAAAATCAGTGCCAGAGTCCAAATTACATTGTGAAAAGGTTACTTTTTGGACTTTTTGGTGGCACAGTGGGTTAAACCGCTGAGCTGCTGAATTTGCTGACCAAAAGTTTGGTGGTTCGAATCTAGGGAGTGGCATGAGCTCCTTCTGTTAGGCCCAGCTTCTGCCAACCTAGCAGTTTGAATACATGCAAATGTGAGTAGATCAATAAGTACCGTTTTTGTGGAAAGAATGGTGCACCATGCAGTCATGCTGGCCACATGACCTTGGCGGCATCTATGGAGAACACTGGCTCTTCAGCTTAGAAATGGAGATGAGCATCAACCCCCAGAGTCGGACACGACTAGACTTAATGTCAGGGGAAACCTTAAAGTTTAACATGTCCAAATAATGAGATAATTTCTAAAAGAGGGCAAATTTCATTCACTGTTTTTTTTCCTGCTGATTTTAAAGTCCTACTCCCCCCCCCCCCCCCCCCCCCCCCCCCCAAAATCCCAATTAATGCAACAATACCAACTGTACCTTTCTCTGGTTTGTTAGCTGCCATCATTTAGGGATACTAAGCAAGGGTATATTTTATGGTTGCAACTATTCACAGAGTTTTTGTGGTTTATAGCACTCTAGTTGATGTCCTGTCAACAGGAGTTGCCCTACTGCAACTCCCTGTAGCCTCTCTCTCAAAACCTGCCTCCTGGGTCTATTTTACACTACAAATAGATAGCATGCCATGGCAACATCATGTGGGATGCTGGGACTGGCCATTGAGGGCAGGACCTCTAAAACCCTTGACCCGGGGACCCCTCTGGGGCCTCTGACCAAACCACCACCCACCTGCCTCCCACCGGATTCCACAGGAGGAAGCCATGGCAGCTGAAACTGTCTCAGGTATTTGACTCTACCTCAGCAAGCGTCCCAAGCCAGAAATTAGATAGGCCCCAGATTCACCTGAGCAATGCAGGAAATTTCATTGTGTAAGAATAAAGAGTCCACACGCAAATATTCTTTCACTGCAGTATGCAGGAAGGTTTTATCTTCAGTTGCTTCAGAAGATATATAAAAGGTAACGGCTTCCCCCGACATTAAGTCTAGTCGTGTCCGACTCTGGGGGGTGGTGCTCATCTCAGTTTCTAAGCCGAAGAGCCAGAGTTGTCCGTAGGCACTGCTTAGGTCATGTGGCCAGCGCGACTGCATTGAACGCAGTTACCTTCCCGCCAAAGCGGTATCTATTAATCTACTCACATTTGCATGTTTTTGAATAGCTAGGTTGGCAGGAGCTGGGCTAACAGTGGGAGATCACCCTGCTCTCCTGATTTGAACCATCGACCTTTTGGTCAGTGATTTAACCCACTGCGTCATCAGGGGGCCCGCTAGAAGATATATATACACAGCTATTTACATAACAATACAATCTCTATCCGGTCCCTTCTACACTACAATATAAAATCCAGTTTATCTGCTTTGAACTGGATTATAAGGCAATGTAGACCCATAATCCAGTTGAAAACCGATAATATGGATTATCTGCTTGGATAACCTGGTTTATATCACAGTGTACAAGGGGCCTCTGCCTTAGCTCCTCTATCTTCCATTTGCTCTCCACACAGAGAACAAGGGAGGGCCTACTTTTAGCCCTCCCCCATTAATCACTCGCTCAGTCACGTGACCCTGCTAATCTACAGGGTGTCTGAGACCTAGACATGAGTGACACTGCAGTTTTGCCATGCGGCCAAGCCTAAAGATCTCAGTACTTCACCATTGTTATCTATGCCAGTTATTTCAAAACTCGACAAACGGAACCTTAGCACCATAGTTCTGTAGTGTGAAAGGCCCTTGAAGCAGAAGACACTCCTTTTGCCCCCCTGCTGGGAATGCAAGAAATACAGAAGAGGATCCTGCTCTTAATCCCATTCACTTCACTCAGTTTCCAACAAAGCCTTGGCCTTATCTTTGAACCTCACTGTGACACTATAGCCTTCCTTCCACATTTGCTGGGGTCAGGGGTGCAGGGTCTCTGTGAAAGTGGGGGAAAACACAAATTAAAATCTGTCACTTTTTAACTTGAGATAATAACTCTAGAAATCTCTTAAGTCCTCCAGTGTGGTTCTATGATCAATGTCTGGGCAGAAGTTGGTCATAACGCACCGTGGAGGACCTAGACATTGCTAGAGAGACCATATTAATCAAATCTGTGGATAATCAAGTTGTGGATAATCAAACTTTCTAAAGTTAAACTGCAAATTTGAAGGGTACTTTTGATCTGGTGCTTTTTTTGCCCATGGGGCTCATGTCCATCTGCATATCATCTCACTCCTTGTTTGGCTCTTTGATTACTTCAGCTCCACGACCTGGACTGTTCAAAGCGTGGCGAGAGAAAGTGCAAGAAAAACCCCATGAAGGCGAGCCCTTGACCCCAGAGCAGATGCTGGAAGATGAAGCCCGTACGATTGCCTGCAGCCATGAAGTGAACAACATGATGCACGAAATGGTCGATTCTACAATATTCAACAAAGTAGAAGTTGTTGGTATTAAGTACATTGCAGCCATGGTGGGAAACCTCGTAAAGGCCTTCACCCTTCTTCATAAGCAATGCCGAAGCCTGAAATTCAAATACGAAAACCTCACAATTCTAGAAACCCGGAAGCATGAGCCTCAGATTGCAAACCTGCAGAGAGAACTGCGGGCAGCCCGAGAAAAAGAGGCAGCATTGGAAGTAGAAATCCAGAATGTTGAGGAAAGATGCAAGGTCCTCATCATCACAAACGAAACGCTGCAACAGGAGCTGCACAGTGCCAATGAAAGAGCAATGGTGGCAAGTAAAGTCACTTTCACCAGAGCTGCTAAGCCTCCTTCAGATTCAGAAAAATTAGCTGGAAAGTCTCAACCAGATGCTGAAAAAGAAGCAAAGCCTAAAATAGGAGGGAAGTCTCAGCCAGGTGCTCCAAAATTGGATGGGAAACCAGTTACAAAAGTCCTGAGTGATGTTCCTGAAAAGATGCAAAGTGTTTCCTTTGAAGAAAAGGATATTCCTGTCAAGACACTGGAGGCAGAAAGTGGAATCCCTGAGAAATTGCATGTGGTGATTAGAGAGGTAGAGCGGAGAGAGCCTCCTCTCCTGCTCGACACACATCTTCCCCCTGTTGGGGCACCACTTACACCTCTTGAAACAAGACCTCAAGTTCGCAGTATTTCACTTGATAGGACCGCTGTAGAGGCAGAAGTGCTTCAAATCCCACCAGAGACAGTAGCAACTCCAGCATTGCCAGAGGCAGAAGCAGCTCAAGCATTGCCAGAAGCAAAAACAGTTCAAGCATTGCCAGAGACAGAAGCAGCTCTAGCGTTGCCAGAGGCACCAATAGCTGAAACATCCCCCGACAAACTGCTGTCCTCAGAGGAGCTACCACAGAGGGACTCAGAAGAAAAGGGTCTTACGGTTACTACCAGCATAGAGGATGAGCAACCTATTGAAAAAGGAGCATATCCCAAAGAAAAGCAACACATTCCCTCTGGCAAACTGAAAGGGGCTAGGCAGACCTCTAAGATAGGACAATGGAAAAAATTGCAAGGCTCCCTCTTAAAAAAACCAATAAAATCTCAAGAACGTCTAAAAGGAACAGCACCAGCACCATCGGCATCAACTGAAGAAAGCATTGCTGCCCCCCTACATGACACAGTGTCTGTCGGTGATGCTGAAGAAGAGTTCATTAAGGGCAGTTCTCCTGAAGTGGAAAGACCAGCATCATCTGAAAAATCTGAAGGAGAGGTATCACCCAAACTTTTAGAAGATGAGCATGCTCCTAGATCTGAGACAGAAGATGAATCAATCAAGAAAGGTTCACCTGAGCTCCTAGAAGATAGTGATTTCTCTAAATTTGAGATTGAAGAGGAGTCCCTAAAGGGAAGTTCATCTGAAGTGGAACGTGCAGTACCATCAAAACGGTCTGAAGGAGAGGTGTCACCCGCACTTTTAGAAGATGCGCATACTCCTAGATATGAGACAGAAGATGAGTCAATCAGGAGAGGTTCACCTGAACTGGAGCCCCCAGAATTGCCCAAAACACCAGCAGAAGCCCCAGTTCACACCCCTTCTCCCGAGGGGACACGTGGAAAACGGAGAGCATCATTGAAAAGCAGTGTGGGAAAAGTAGTTACCACTGTAAAAGTTAAAAAGCTTGTCAAAACCATGGGAGAGGGCATGGCTCAGAAGCCTGCAGTGGCTCCAGATACCCCAGCGAAAGGGGGCATAGATTCCTTAGACAGTCCAAAACGAACCTCAAGTGAAAGAGTAGAGGTTTTGGCTCTTGACACACAAGAAGCTGGTCAGGTACAGGCACCAAAACGGTTGCTGGGCAAAGCAAAGGAAGCCAAGGAAAAGAAAGAGGTGAAACGGACTGGTAGAATACCGGCAGAAGTGCCACAATCAAAGCAGGAGGAGAAAGCAGAAGAGATTATCCACGGTTTAAGGACAAAATTGCAAGAGGTTGCCAGGGAAAGAGGTGGTGTGATTGACGAAGAAACCATTAAAGAAATTTTTGCAGAAGTTAGTGCAACAGATCGAGATGTTTCTCCAGAAGACAGCTCTGGAAGCCATTCCCCAGAAATACATACCAAAAGCTCTGTTACAAAGAAGTCCTCTTTGTCATTATCTGAAGCTGAATATACACCCACGAAGGAAAAGAGAAGCAGAAGTTTTGAACAGCCAGCTTCTGAGCAAGTTGCTGATTCTGTACTGCAAGAATTTCAAACAGCTATCCTTGCTAGCTTAGATGACAAGTTAGAGAGGGTAAGGAAGGGCTCCCTGGGCAGCCAGAAACGCTCTGTCAGATTCCAGCCCACAGATACTTTTGTTCAAGATTTCTTAGAAGTCATAGAAAGAAAACTAGAAGAATGCTTCTTGGAAAAGCATAAATCCCTCATTGGCCAAGGCACACCAAAGCCAGTGAGAAGCATATTAAGTAAAGCAGAATTACCAGAAGAAGAGGAGCAGGAAATTAAAGTTATTTCCCCATCTTTTGACAGCCAGCCTGTGCTGGCCCCAGTCTCTCCAGACAGTTCTTTTAGTACTCTTCAGACAGAAGGGGAGAAACCCATTTCACCTAAAGACTCCTCAGATGGAATGACATGGCACAAGCAGGAGGAGGAAGAGGAGGAGGAGGAGGAGGAAGAAGAAGGAGAACAACTGTGGAAAAGCCAAGAAGAGCCACAGAGTAAAAAAGAATTTTTCTTCCAACTCCTGCCCAGGCTGGACGAAGAAGATGAGAATGATTTAGAGGAGATCACATCTCCCAAGGAAGAAGACCAGTTGCCTAAAGAAGGTGATGTGCTGCACAAGGAATCATGGCAGGAAAGGATGAAACAGTCTTCTGAGGAATTGCAGAAGCATGCCTGGAAGGAGAAGGAGCTACTGCAGAAAGAGTCCAAGTCAGAAACAGGAATGACGGACTCAGAGAAGGTGGATGAATACAAGGAAGACTGGTACATTCAGTTGCAGGAGATGCTGCAGGCTGAGAAGGCATGTCTGCAAGAGGAGCAAGAACGGCTACAGGAGGAGCGCCAGCGGCTGGAAGAGGAGGCAAAATATTTGGAGCATTGGCAGGAGGTGTTTGAACAGCAGCGGAAACAATGGGAGGAGCAGGAGGAGCAGCGCAAGGAGCAGGAGTGCTTGTGGCAAGTGCAGCTCCAGCACTGGGAACACATGCAAAGGGAGGCCCAGGAGCAGGAGCAGCACTGGCTCAAGCAGCAGGATCGACAGAAGGAGCAGCAAATACTCATGCAGGAGGAACTGGAGCAGTTGAAGCAGGAGTATGTGGAGTACCTGAAGCTGCGGGGGAAGCAAGCAGAAGAAGCCTGGCAGTGGAACCAGCTGAAGACTTGGCATGAGCAGAGGCAGCAAGCCTGGGAAGAGGAGGATGAAGAACAGGAAAGGAAGCGAGCCCAGTGGCAGGTGCAGCTAACAAGCCACAAGGAACAGATTGAGGCCTTACAACAAGAGCGGGAAGCAAAGGAGCAGGAGTTCCAGAAGTGGCAGAAGGATCAGAAGGAGCAGCAGGAAAAGCTGGAGCAACTTTGGGAGCAGCGCTGGGAGCAGCAGCTGCAGAGCTGGCACCATCAGATGCATAAACAGCGGACCCGGCAACTGAAATGGCAACAGCAGAGCCACAGATTGACAAAGAGGCAGCAAGAGATACAGCGGTTAAAGTCTCTGCGTCCGAAGGTGAAAGTTGTGGAGGGCTCTAGGCTGGATCGGCCTCCCAAGCAGCAAAGAGTTTCTCCCACCCTCAGGGAGAGACTTCTTTCTACTACCCCCCAGATCACACCCATTCCTAGCAAGGAATTTGAGGAAGATTCCTGGGAGCTGGAGACTACTTGGTTTCCTAAGCTATTCTCCAAAACAGAGAAGTTTCCTGCGCCTGCTGTCACAGAGAAGCGATACTGGATAAATGTAGAGGCTCAGAGGAAAAACCTGGAGGTGTTGAAGCAAGCTGCCCAGAAGTCTGGAATTTCAGTAGATCTGTACATCAAAGCCAAAGCATTAATCCAACAAGTATTGCACAGCAATGTTGAAAGGCTGGGTTTGCTTTTCAGGAAATACGAGTCTTTCAGCCATCTCCAGGAAGTCAGGTAAGATGACAAGTTAACTGTGAAGGCGGTTTGCTGAGTTCCTGGGCACTAGTACTCTCAGTAGGCTAATTTAATAGAGTGTGAGGGGTAGGTTGCCACTCACTTAACTGTCTGCCCTTGAAAAGGTCCGCAGTTGGAAGGATGTATTCTTCTAGTTATAGGGAGAGGTGTTTCTTTTTCAGTCCATAGACTGGTGTAGCAAACATGGATAATTACAAGGAAAACAGTTTTTCCTTTACTGTATTGTCCCCTATGTTGTTTAACATTTACATGAAGTCGCTGGGAGAGAGTATCCAGAGTTTTGGAGTGAGACGTCATTTGTACGCGGATGATGTTTAGCTTTATCACTCTTTCCCACCTGCTACTAAGGAGGCTGTTCAGGTTCTGAACCGGTGCTTGGCAGCTGTGACGGTCTGGATGAGTGCGAACAAATTGAAATTGCTCTTGGTCCCACCATCCTCACAAACACGACTAGCGGAGACAAGAGACAGGGCCTTCTCAGTGGTAGCCTCTCACCTGTGGAACTCTCTACCCAGTGACATTAGATTGGCCCCCTCCCTTTTGTCCTTTAGAATGAAACTCAAAACCTGGTTATGAGACCGAGCATTCGAACAGTAGAGGCAGCAATTTAGAATGAGACCCAATTTGTGTAAATGACAATGGACTGACCTGGAGTATGATTTCAAACCTGTGTGATTTAAACAACGTTTTAGTAATTTTAAAGCATTAATGAATTGTTTTAATTGCTTTTATCATTTATTACTGTTGTTGGCATTGACTGAATGCCTGCTGTGAAGCCACCCTGAGTCCCCCTCCAGGGATGAGAAGGACGGGATACAAATATGCAAAATAAATAAATAAATAAATAATACTGCGCCTTTGCAGGCTCTAACTGAAAGCTTTTTCCAAAGTCTAGCTTTTGAATGTAACCCTGCCCCCTCCTCCAGTGGTTGTGCCAGCATCTCCCCAGTTCCTTTTCATTTGCCACTGTAGCAACCCGTTTAAGGTTTCTAGTTCAATGCTACTTCTATCACTCTGCTGTCGACAACACGCTTCAAGAGATGTGGCCAATGCCAGACTCCAGTGGGCACTCAAGATGCCTACAGTACCTAGGAGAAACTCATGTGGTTGGTACCTACCAACATTGCCAGGCATTTATAGGCTAGAAGGAACAGAGAAGCAAGTCTCTGCACGCTTCACTAACTTGAGGGTCACATTTTTCACCACCAGGCATTTAAAAAGCCAAAAGCAGCTTCATGTCACAGAGAATATGGGAGCTGGTTTTCCCAGGACAGACTAGGCTCTTGCCTTTTTTTATTCTGTTCAGAGATGGTTCCCTTTTTGGTAAGAGTTAAGGTACAGAACTAACATTGATCCATGGATAAGTTGATTCAGGATTCTTTGGGTCTCTTTTTCACTAAAATTTCCAGTATAAACAGTGTGTTTGTGTGTGTGAGGGGTGTGTGTGCCTAAAGCAAATGAATTCAGAATTTATTATCTTAGAGAGAGGCACAAGGTAAGTATGTTCTTTATTTCCCTTCATATTCGTCCTCACATTGGAACTCCTAGCAAAACTGCAAGGGCATCAAGTTAAGATTTTTGATGTGTCAGGGGCGACTTGAGAAACTGCAAGTTGCTTCTGGTGTGAGAGAATTGGCCGTCTGCAAGGATGTTGCCCAGGGGACACCAGGATGTTTTGATGTTTTACCATCCTTTGTGAGAGGCTTCTCTCATGTCCCTGCATGGTGAGCCGGAGCTGACAGAGGGAGCTCATCCGCGCTCTTCCCAGTTTAAAATCTGCGACCTGTCGGTCTTCAGTCTTGCCAACACAAGGGTTTAACCCACTACGCCACCGGGGGCTCCTATCAAGTTAAGATGGGAAGTGGGGAGCTGATAATGTGTGTCTATACTTAAATAGCCTATGGGAAAAACCATTCCCACTATTAAAAAATAATTGACTACATTGCCCAGGTAACTAGATTCAAAACTGCTTACTCTAAATCTCATATTTTTGTATCAATACACTACTTAAGACTCAGTGTTTTTCAGAATGCCATTGACAGGTTATTGCATTTTCAAGTTTCAAACATTTAAGTGTACAAGTTACAAAAAATATAAATTGTTTGATTCCATGTTATCTTGATTGCAAAATATGGTAAAAACATGGATCAGGAAATCTGGGATAACACTGTTAGTGGAGTTATGGAATGGAGAACAACCAGTCGTTTAAGGTTGTTTGCATATTTTGCATGCTTGATTACAGGCTCTTAAAGTCTAAGACATTCAGAAGTACAGAAGTACAGTAGAGTCTCACTTATCCAAACTTTGCTCATCCAACGTTCTTTATTATCCAGTCTGCCTCCTGCCTGGATCCACAGCTGTTTCAATACATTGTGATGTTTTGGTGCTAAATTTGTAAATACAGTAATTACTACATAATGTTACAGTGTATTGAACTGCTTTTTCTGTCGATTGGTTGTAAAACATGATGTTTTGGTGCTTTATTTGTAAAATCATGACGTAATTCAACGTTTAATAGGCTTTTCCTTAATCCTTCCTTATTATCCAACATTTTTGCTTATCCAACATTCTACCAGACCATTTATGTTGGATAAGTGTGAATTGCAACTGTAGTTTACCGGTTCCTGCCTTTGTGCAGTACAAACAAGAATTAGGCAAAGTGTAACTTCCATTATCTATCAGAAATCTTCTATCAGTGTCACCTCAGTTATATCACAGCTGTGATATAACTGTAAGGAAGTAGAAAAGTAATTTACTAATGAACAAATCTCTCACTTATTCTGTTGCATTGTATTCAAGAAAATAAACTACTATCAGTCTTTAATGTACTTATACAAAAGAAGATTATTTCTCCACTTCTGTCTCCATTTGCAGGCGAAAATTAACTAGTCAGCTGGATGCTGCCAAAGAAGCTCAGGATGGGGCTAAAATGCAAAGTATGTACAAGATGGTAGAGAAGGTGGATGCTTACCAGAAAAAGGTTCTGGAGCGTTGGACGGTTAAGCAGAATACAGTAGAACAGAAGCGCCGGCAGGGCCTTGAAAAGATGATTGCCTTGTTTACGCAAGTGAGTCCATAAGGGTGGACTTACAACTTACAAAATTGGTACTTTTTACTTTCTCTGTTTCACAAGCTACAGCACAAACTTTCCTTTCTCCCTCTTGCCCATATTGGGAAAACTTTCCTAAAGGACAGGGATATGTGGTGAATCTAACTTCCCACAATCTGTATCAAGGGGTGGGCAGATCAGGTGAGGAAATTTACTGCGACAGTTGCAATTCACATAGTGACTTTTACTTTGTGGCAGTTTTGAAAGAACTAGTCAGGTTAGTTTTTTCCAACAGGAAAAAGGAAATGTGGGGAGGATTGCAGGGGAAGAATGGAGTAGGATCTTTAGTCTAATCTATTTTGATATGAGTGTTTGTGGATTTTAAACCACTTCTTCAAACATCTTGGCTTTCATCTATTTGTGGAATGTAGGGTGATTCACACGGTACTGCTAGGCAGTCTTTCAACCAGGCACTTCTTAGTCCCTTCTCTTTCTCTGGTCTATTTCTCCAGTCTCGTTGCACGGTAGATCCTCTCCTTTGTTTCAGGAGGTAGAATGCTTTTTCTCTCTGTTCTCCTTTAGCTCCGCTCAAGCACCAAACTCCATCTCAAGGACCCATGCCCACTGATGGTCAAAGGAGAAGAGGCCATAAGGAAGGAGACCCTGCACCTGCCCCGCCTTGGGTCTGTTGGCCTGAAGACCAGAGTCTACCGAAGTCCTTTGATCAGTGTGAAGAAAACTCAAGATTTCACATTCTCAGCTGTAGTTACCAGGTACAGCATGATGGAGTGTACAGAATATTCCATAAAGTTCAAAACCTAAGCAGCATTATTATTGTGTTGTTACAGAATTTAATTTTGGGACATCAATAATTAGGTTCTCTAACATTTTCATCACCATTATCTCAATTTAACTATCTTACATGTACAGGCTGAGCATCCCTTTCCTGAAAATCCAAAAATGCTCCATAATTGTCCACATGAATGGCTGAGAAGTGGCACCTTTCCTTTCTGAAGTTTCAGTGTATACAAGCTATATTCTATGCACCAAACTAGTGAATAAAATTATCTTCAAACTATGTGTATAAGGTGTCTATGATACATAAATTAATGTTTAGATTTGACCCCATTCCTGAGATGTCTCATTATTGTATGTGTATGTAATATAGTTAATACAAATTCCAAGCACTTTGGGCAAGTGATTGTTGTTGTTGTTCATTCGTTCAGTCGTCTCCGACTCTTCGTGACCTCATGGACCAGCCCACGCCAGAGCTACCTGTCGGCCGTTACCACCCCCAGCTCCCTCAAGGTCAGTCCAGTCACTTCAAGGATGCCATCCATCCATCTTGCCCTTGGTCGGCCCCTCTTCCTTTTCCTTCCACTTTCCCCAGCATTATTGTCTTCTCTAAGCTTTCCTGTCTCCTCATGACGTGGCCAAAGTACTTCATCTTTGCCTCTAATATCCTTCCCTCCAATGAGCAGTCGGGCTTTATTTCCTGATGCATGGACTGGTTGGATCTTCTCAGTCCAAGGCACTCTCAGAACTTTCCTCCAACACCACAGTTCAAAAACATCGATCTTCCTTCGCTCAGCCTTCCCTATGGTCCAGTTCTCACATCCATAGGTTACTACAAGGAATACCACGGCTTTGACTATGCGGATCTTTGTTGCCAGTGTGATGTCTCTACTCTTTACTATTTTATCGAGATTGGACATTGCTCTCCTCCCAAGAAGTAAGCGTCTTCTGATTTCCTGGCTACAGTCTGCATCTGCAGTAATCTTTGCACCTAGAAATACAAAGTCTGTCACGGCCTCCACGGTTTCTCCCTCTATTTTCCAGTTGTCAATCATTCTTGTTGCCATAATCTTGGTTTTTTTGACGTTTAGCTGCAACCGGCTTTTGCTCTTTCTTCTTTCACCTTGATTAGAAGGCTCCTCAGCTCCTCCTCGCTTTCGGCCATCAGAGTGGTGTCATCTGCATATCTGAGGTTGTTAATGTTTCTTCCAGCAATTTTCACCCCAGCCTTTCAGTCAAGCCCCGCTCATCGCATGATGTGTTCTGCATACAAGTTGAATAGGTTGGGTGAAAGTATACAACCCTGCCGTACGTCTTTTGCAATCTTGAACCAGTCTGTTGTTCCATGGTCAGTTCTAACTGTTGCTACTTGGTCCTTGTACAGATTCCTCAGGAGAGAGACAAGGTGGCTTGAACTTGCCACTAAGAACTTGCCACAATTTATTATGATCCACACAGTCAAAGGCTTTAGAATAGTCAATGAAGCAGAAATAGATGTTTTTCTGAAACTCCCTGCCTTTCTCCATTATCCAGCGGATATTGGCAATCTGGTCTCTCGTTCCTCTGCCTTTTCTAAACCCAGCTTGAACATCTGGCAACTCTCGCTCCATGTATTGCTGGAGTCTTCCTTGCAGGATCTTGAGCATTACCTTACTGGCATGAGAAATAAGGGCCACTGTACGGAAGTTTGAGCAGTCTTTCGCATTTCCCTTTTTTGGGATGGGGATATAAGTTGATTTTTTCCAGTCTGATGGCCATTCTTGTGTTTTCCATATTTGCTGGCAAATGGCATGCATCACCTTGACAGCATCATCTTTTAAGATTTTAAAAGTTCAGCTGGGATCCCGTCGTCTCCTGCTGCCTTGTTGTTAGCAATGCTTCTTAAGGCCCATTCAACCTCACTCCTCAGGATCTAATTCATTCACCACACCGTCAAAGCTATCCTCGATATTATTATCCTTCCTATACAGATCTTCTGTATAGTCTCGCCACCTTCTCTTGATCTCTTCAGCTTCTGTTAGGTCCCTGCCATCTTTGTTTCTTATCATACCAATTTTTGCCTGAAATTTACCTCCAATGTTTCTAATTTTCTGGAAGAGGTCTCTTGTCCTTCCTATTCTTTTGTCTTCTTCCACTTCCATGCATTGCTTATTTAAAAATAGTTCCTTATCTCTTCTGGCTAACCTCTGGAATTGCGCATTTAACTGGGCATATCTCCCCTTATCCCTGTTTCCTTTTGCTTTCCTCCTTTCTTGGGCTACTTCCAGTGTCTCAGCAGACAACCGTTTTGCCTTCTTGGTTTTCTTTTTCTTTGGGACGTACTTTGTTGCCGCCTCCTGAACAATGTCTCGGACTTCTGTCCATAGTTCTTCTGGGACTCTGTTTACTAAATCTAGTCCTTCAAATCTGTTCTTCACTTCCACTGCATATTCGCTAGGAATGTTAGTGAGATCATATCTAACTGGTCTGTGTATTTTCCCTGATCTCTTTAGTTTTATTCTAAATTGCAATAAGAAGTTCGTGATCTGAGCTACAGTCAGCCCCAGGTCTTGTTTTCACCGACTGGATGGATGTCCGCCACCTTTGGCTGCAAAGGATGTAGTCAATCTGATTTCGGTGTTGACCATCTGGTGAAGTCCATGTGTAAAGCCGTCTTTTAGGTTGTTGGAAGAGAGTATTCGTTATACACAGCGAGTTTTCCTGGCAAAATTCTATCAGCCTGCGTCCCGCTTCATTTTGTTCTCCCAGACCATGCTTGCCTGTGATCCCAGTTGTCATTTGACTTCCCACCTTGGCATTCCAGTCTCCTGTAATGAAAATAATGTCTCTTTTTGGTGTATTATCCAGTAGGTCCTGCATATCCTCATAGAACTGATCTACTTCTGCTTCTTCAGCAGCTGTGGTTGGGGCGTATATTTGGATCACTGTGATGTTGAAAGGCTTTCCTTGCACTCGAATTGAGATCATTCTGTCATTTTTTGGGTGTATCCAAGCACCGCTTTAGCGAATTTCTTATTAATTATGAAGGCTACTCCATTTCTTCGATGTTCCTCTTGTCCGCAGTAGTAGATCTGGTGGTCATCTGATGTGAAGTGGCCCATTCCAGTCCACTTCAGTTCGCTGACCCCCAGAATGTCTATCTTTAGTCTTGACATCTCGCCAATAACAACATCCAGTTTGCCCTGGCTCATAGATCTTACATTCCAGGTTCCTATGGTGTGTTGATCTTTAGAGCATCGGATTCGTCGTTCACCTCCAGTACCGTCGGCCGCTAGCCTTCCTTTCGGCTTTGAGCTAGCTGCGTCATCACATCTGGGGCTAGTTGAACTTATCCTCTGCTCCTCCCCAGTAGCATTTTGCCCATCTTCCGACCTGGGAGTCCCATCTTCCAATGGCATACCGACATATCTCTGGTTGTACTGGTCCATTTAGTTTTCTTGGCAAGGATACTGGAGTGGTTTGCCATTGCCTTCCCCAGGGATCACGCTTGGTCTGACCTCTCTGCCACAACCGTCCCGTCTTGAGTGTCCCTTCACGGTTTCGCTCATGACATCATTGAGGTGCTCAAGCTCCAGCGCCCCGACAAGGCGGTGATCCTTTGCTGGAGTGGGCAAGTGATATACCACCTGTATTGCTGACTAAAATTTGGGACTTTCAATGATTCAGATTATTCAAGAAGCTAGGAATCTGTGAAATAGGATTAGTTGATGTACTTCTGCTGCTGCTCTTGATGTGATCATCATCTATTGAAAGCATCCTCTATTGTATTGCCATATAGGCCCTAAAGGTTGCCTCTAACACCAATACAGAACTGGCCACATATGTTGGCTGCCTGAGGCAAAGGACAAGTCACTCCCTCCCAGTTTTGTGGACAGAAGTAAAATGGACAGCAGTTGAAATTTATTTTGGTGTGGTCAGTGAGACAATATCATCCAGGAGTGTGGATACTTGCCAATAATATGCATCGATACATATCCACAACATTAATAATCTACAAACCTTGATTACCGGTAATCTCTGTAGGATTCCCTTGGAAAGGAAGGTTTTTCCTTTCCACAGCATAAGAGTTTTCTTGATGGGCTGCACTGAGGAGGGTGTTCCCCTGCTTTGCTTTAGACAACACTCTGAATGCCTGTACTCCTTGAAGTCCAAATATCACAATATTCATGTTTATATAAAAAGAGTAGCCGTAGAAACATTTTAGAAGAGAAAAAGCTAATGGAGATGGTGAAAAGAATTTTGGAAAGTCCATAATCTATTGGAAATTCCAGTGCACCATAACCTTATTGCAAAGGTAAAAATGATGCCACTTCGGTTTGGCAAAATGTGAATCTCTATGAACATATAGACCACTTGAAAACCACTAGTCAAAAATGATCTGACCTTGTTAGAAGTCAAACCTTACGACAAGTGATATTCATAAAGTATTAATGTAATAGCACCACAGGTAGCTCAGCTGTTAGTCTGAGGAACCATGTCTTTAAACGGCCAAGGATAAAGACAGGCCACTACAAAAATATATCTGGCCAGCAGAAGATGGTGGTTTGAAGTAGAATTTACAGTTGCCCAAAAGATACAAACTCCCTTAAAACATGCACAACAAAACAAAGTACTGGAGTCGTCTTTGAAAAATAATATATCTTGTTTACTAACAAACTTGTATATATTCAGTATACAGGCACATTGTCTTTAAAATGTCTTTAAGCATATCTGTACTCACTGAAGTCCATGAGCACACACATATCCACCTCCAATGAAGTGGTAAGCATACTTACTACATTGAAGTCATAAGTATACATCTACCTCATTGAAGTCCAAAAACAAATTGAACACAAAATGGAGTCCTGAGTTTGCACATGCTCAGTACAATCACATCTGTAACTCCTCCCACATCAAAGAGGTAAGTCAAACTGGCAAATTAACATACGCATAGAATGCAGGCTAACAATTGTATATACATTAACAAACAATTAGTGGAAGGTTGGAAGGTTGCTATTTCCAACAGAGAAACAGTGTGACAAAGGAGGCACATCTCCCTAGTTGTATTTTTCAACTTCCCAATGGCTTTCTTTCTCTGTACGGTATCACTCATGTCAGAAATATAATTATTGGCTTGGCAGGTCTCTGCAAGATTGTAGCTTCCTCAAAACTGTTATTATTTGAGTACAGTTTTATGTTTTTCCCCTTCTGCAGAGAACCAAGCAGTGAACAGATAGAGTCATTGTGGAAGACAGACATTACAGAACTGAGTATCCCCATTGGACCCAAAGAACCTGTGTCATTGTTGTGGTCTGAGACTTGTGGCTTTCCAGATGTACCTAGACTTTTGGAATTAGACATTTCTTCCATTAGGAGAAAACCCCTTGAAAATGTAAAGACTCGGTAAGTAGTTCTTCATTATTTGATTCATTATGACACTGGAGCAGACATCAAAGCAATAAATAGCACAATTCATATAATTGTGTATTTTTTGCTGGTATTAATTGCATAATTTTGATACATAATGGAGACACACCTTTAACCCTGTTGTTTGATGCTTCTGCCATGATCTCAGTTGGACTTTATCAGCTGAGTTTGTGTATGACCGTCAACAAAGCCAAAAAAAGTGTATGCTTGCCCACAGTGCCTTGCCTCATGCACAGAGAAAGAACTGTTCAAAGCTACAGACAATGCAGTTGCTATTGTCTGTTTTTGGTCTAAAATTATTTAGCCACTTGTGCTCTCTCTATTTTATCAGTTTTATGCTTGTTTTATTTATGCAATGCTTTTGACATGAAGTAAATAAATGAACAAAGGCAAAAGAAGATATCTTGAACAAACTCTTCCAATAAATGAAGACATAACAATGTTATTTTAGCAGAGCTTGTTGAGACACAAACATATTAGTATCCAAGGCCAACAACTCAAGTATTGCCCTCCAAATACAGTAACTGAGATTTTACTGCTTTCTAATAATACCCATTCTATTCTGCCTCATTCTGCTTGTTAGCAAACTTGGCCCCACCTCTGTTCTGCAACCAATCAGTTCAAACTAGCAAGAAATAAGAGTGATGTAAGTCAATGCTATGATGCCTAAAGACTCTAAAAGCATCAGATCCCATCTGATCTTGGAAGCTATGCAGGTCCAGGCTTAGTTAGTACTTCGAAGGGAGACCACTGGGGAATACCCTGTGCTTTTGACTATATTCAGAAGGGAATGACAAATTTCCTCTGATTAGATGTTTCTAAAAATATCCTATGATAGGGTCACCATAAGATAGAGGGGACTTGAAGGCACATGATGGCAAAGCAAACGCCCTCTCTAGCTGAGTATCACATAGCGGCAGCCTTCTTAATGTCTCAGAAAGTTAGCATTGGTAAATAAGATCCTGCCGGTAAGACTATAGTCAGCTAAATGTTTTCTAGCTCTGGCTTTAATTTTTGTGTTTCTGTTTACGAGGGAATAGGGATTACTCCCTCTCACCCCATTCTCCACCCCCACACAAATGGGTTCTTGATGGGTTAGTGGACTTGCTATTCTGGCAGGCATTGTTTTGAATCACAAGAGCTATGACCCCTGCACACCTTTCTGGTGGCCATGGATATCTTTATGAGTTGTTTTTGAAGGTCTGGGGGCATAATTTACATATGCCCCCCCCTCCATCTCCCAATTTATCCATCATATCTTGTATTCATGCTAAGAGAGGACAGTCTGAATTACTTTCATTGGTTTGTTTATTCGGACTGCTCATCCACACATATTCAAGCTATAGGTCTTGTCTTTCTGGGTATCTCTATATCTCTGGGCTGGTCACCCAGCCTTCTTACCTTTTGCGACTGTTCCTTTTGTAACTGTTTTTAGAAAGTTATGGGGTGATGATTTAGATAAAACTGGATGAATGCCCTCATAATACATTTAACTAGTATTTAGAACTGACTAGTCACAAGTAAATAGTTACTTTCAATTGATTATGTTTTGCAAGACTACATTGTAAGTTCATTACATTGCAGCATCACTACTCTTTTTAGTGAGTTGTTTTGGTAATGTAAGTAAAAAGGTGCAGTTGAGGAATATTAAATTGTTCAACAGTTGGCTTTTTCTTCTCTCTGCTGCTTCTGACTAAAAAAACCTAACTGCAAGCAAGCAATTTATGTTGCATCTGCACTATAGAATTAATGTAGATTGACATCACTTTGACTGCCATGGCTCAATGCTATAAAATTCTGGGAGTTGTAGTTCAGTGAGGCACCAGCACTCTTTGGCAGAGGAAGCGAAAGACCTTATAGAACAATTAAAGTGGTGTCAAACTATATTAATTATGCATTTTACTCTTAATTACTGTTAACAACTGAAATGCCAAGATTTTATTTTTCAAAAATTGTGAGAACAACATTAATTGCTGGGGTGTGTGTGTGTAATTATCAAAAGTATTTTTTTCTGAGCTCCACTTTTAACAGTTTCTTCACAAAATTAATTCCAGCATTTGAAGGCAATGGAGGCAAAAATAGCAAGGGCATACAAATGACAGTGAGAGTTCTTTCTGTCCAAATTCCAAAAAGACTTTTCTGCTATTCAAGTGATTTTTATACAAGAGTCTTGAAAAAGTGTATTTTACAGCAAAATTTAGAAGCTAACATTGTCCAAGTGGAGAAATTAAGAGGGAAAGGGGTTTACTGTGTTTTAATTTTTTTAACTCAGTGATTTGGACATTTATTGTCATTGCCCTGAAGTGTTTAATAAGGTTTTTTTCATGTCAGAAGTGACTTGAGAAACTGCAAGTCGCTTCTGGCATGAGAGAATTGGCCGTCTGCGAGGACATTGCCCAGGGGACGCCCGGATGTTTGATGTTTTACCATCCTTGTGGGAGGCTTCTCTCACGTCCCTGCATGTGGAGCTGGAGCTGACAGAGGGAGCTCAATCCGCTCTCCCCGGAATTCGAACCTCTAACCTGTTGGTCTTCAGTCCTGCTGGCACAAGGGTTTAACCCACTGTGCCACCGGGGGCTCCTGTGAATCAACAGAACATGAGGAATTTGTTGATGAAGTTGTCAATCTCCTCATTATCCATCATCCCGAATTCAGTGCCCTCTCATCATCCCCAGTTCTCAATGCCAGTGGTTCCCACATTTTGATAATCCTGATTGCCATTTGACAGACATAAAGTCAGAGCAAGCTACTAACTTACTGGAGAATGGCCTGTAGATGTCACTGTTTTTCAGTAGAAAGATAATCCAAATCAATCCTCCTGCATTAGCAAATCTGAATCACAGAATGCATAGGAAAGAATTATCAGAGCCCTTTCAGTCTTATACAGGCACTCCCTGAGTTGCAAGCATCCAATTTACAAATGGCTCATAGTTAAGAACGGGGCTGAGATAACAGGAAGTTGGAGAATCTCCTCCTAGGAAGGGAAATTCACTCCTGGAAGAGTTACTATCATGGGGAAAGGGTGTCTCAGGGCCCTTCCACACAGTAATATAACCCAGAATATCAAGGCAGTCAATCCACAACATTAGTTTTGAACTTGATTATCTGAGTTCACACTGCCACATAATCCAGTTCAATGTGGATTTTATACAGCTGTGTGGAAGGGGCCTCAAATGAAACTTTGTCACCAGTACTTGTTTCCACAACAAGCCATATTTTTCAACATCCAGTTATCGTAGGCACAGAAAGTGAGGGCAGGAGCACAGATAGTAAAACAAACATTACAGGGGTGTTAACCCTTCCCTAGGCTATCCAAAGTGTGCGTGTGTGTGCGGCTCTAGTTTCACTTAAAAATGTACCTGTTCTGACTTACATACAAATTTAACTTAAGAACAAACCTACAGAACCTATCTTGTTCTTAACTTGGAGGCTGCCTGTATTTGTTCCAATATCCACTGAAGTAACATTCTGCTGCGCCTCTTTGTTTCATGTTTATGGATCTGCTCTGCAAGACACAGTGAACAGCCATGCCTATCACCTTTCTAGTTTAGCAACATAAAGGGGATGAATCATGAGGCAGTAAACTGCAATACTGCCGTGACATTTTTAACCCAGCTTTCTTCCTCTCTTTTTATTTGATAGTTAATGACTCTCTCTCTGCTACTGGTAGTCCAGTTTCATCTGTTTAATGTTTAAAAAGATATTTTGCATTTTGATGCACACTCTCCCTCATGAGCATTATATCAAAAAACTTTTAAAGTATGTCTCTTGTATCCCAAATTTCGTGTGATAAGCAAAACCATGGATAATAGTGAGCCCTATTGATATGAAGGAATTCTGGGCAAGGAATACCATAGTATCACGTTGAAGGGTTTAGAAAATGCTTAGAGAGAACAAGTTTTTCCAGACTTAGACCCCACCAACACTGCCGTGTAATGCAGTTTCAGTGTAAACCCTTATAACACACTTCAGAGCAGTCAAACTGCATGATATGATATGGCACTGTAGATGGGGCTTGAAATAATGGAACTGTGGGTACTGGACCCACAGATTCAGGGGTCATAGTATATATACTGTAATTGGTTGAGATCATAATTTCCACATCTGGAGCGTCTGGTCACAATAGATATAACTGTGTTATGCCCACAGCATTTTTTAAAAAAATGTCAGGAGCGACTTGAGAAACTGCAAGTCGCTTCTGGTGTGAGATAATTGGATGTCTGCAAGGACGTTGCCCATGGGACGCCCGGATGCTTTGATGTTTTACCATCCTTGTGGGAGGCTTCTCTCATGTCCCTTCATGGGGAGCTGGAGCTGACAGAGGGAGCTCATCTGCCAGCTGTCAAATGTAACTCAGGCCTATATTTTCTTCCCTGTTTCTTCAATAATTGTTTTTGTTACCTCTACTTGTCTCAAAGGCAACTCCTATCAGATACCAAGTGGACTCTGTGACACTTTTTTTAAAACTAAACAATCATTGGCCAGGCAATGGACTTTAAACCTCTACTTTTTTTTGTATTTTCGTGGATGATGGCGAAAAGGGGGAGGTAGAGATGTTTAGTTAGCAAGAGAAAATCTTAAAGAGTAATAACAACACCAGCACGCCATATCAAATAGTGAGTGACCTGTGGACTAAGTGGGGAGGAAGTGGGGTGCCCCTTGCTTGGATTGCAAACCATCACTGCCACATTCCGTGAGTTGTATTAATGGGAAGAAACAGCAGCAACAATACTCTTCACTGCTACTTTGAAAATGTCCCTTCTGAATATTGAGGTGGAACAAGGTGCATCTGCACTGTAGAATGAATGCAGGTTGACATCACTTTAACTACCATGGCTTAGTGCTATGAAACTGGAATCCCTGAATCTGTAGTTTGGCGAAGCACCAACAGTCTTTGAGGGAGAAGGCTGAAGACCTCGTAAAACCACAGCTCCCATGATTCCATAGCACTGAGCCATGGCTTTTAAAGAGGTATCAAACTGCGTTAATTCTACAGTGTAGATGCACCCTCGGTCCTTTACACCATTGCCATCATTCAAAGCTGTTGTCCTGTAACACTTCCAATGTGTTTTTATATATCAATCATTTGATGTAGATTTCTTAGAATTCCATTTTCCTGTTTGTAAAATTGTTTTTGTGTGTTTTCAATACATTTCCGACTTACAGTAACCCTAAAGTGAACTTATTACAAGGTTTGTTGAGAAGTGTTTTGCCCTTGCCTTCATATGAGGCAGAGACTTGCCCAAGGCCACCCAGTGGGTTTCCATGACTGATTCAAACCCTGAATCTCAGAGCATCACACTGGCTCTGTGACTGTAAACCAATGGTTCTCAACCTTTTTTTGACCAGGGTCCACTTGACCAGAGACCATTTTGACCAGGGACCACTCTCCAACATTAGTACCAAAAGGGTTATGAATCAGTTTTTGTTCAACTTTAGATTCAGTTTGGTTATTTGGGGTGCTGATTCAGAAACTTGCATTGGATAGACCACATCAGCTCTAGTTTCTGATACAGAACATATGCCATCAAGTAGTCACCATCTGCTTTCCCACAGAAAAATATATTTAATAAGCCTCGGGACTATAAGAGTGTTTTAAGAGACCAGTTCCTCTTGTTGCAAAACTATTGTAATGGTGAGGCTGCAGACTATATTTTAGTTCTTGCTGACCACTGGTGGTCCACGGACCACTGCTGAAAACAAAACAAAACACAAAACCATCACATAAACAAAGAAAAAATATAAAAATACCAACATCCAATAGGTATATGTATAACAAATATAAAAATAGAGAAACGAAGACTAAATACAATATTATGATAAACACATATTTGAAAATATATAAAATCCATACACAACATGGGCATCTTCCATATCATCAGAAAGGATGGTTTGTTTGGAAAGTACCTCTGCATCTCATAGGTACATGGAGTTTTGAAAAGCTGCAATTACCTCTGAAGAAGATCCTAAGGTTGTACAAATCCTGACATTGATTATCTAGTTGTATATGATTTACAAACAGACAGTCATCAGTATCAGTTTGCTAGGCATTTAAATGAGTTGTCATCATTGAAATGACAACAACTACTTACAATTTGCAACTACTTGATTCTATACCAAGAGTTTGCTTGCCTGTGAAAGACTTGATTTTAATGGGGCACATTTGAATATTGTAATATATGGTATGTCATTTATTGTGTTGCCACATACATAATGTGACATTGGGCTATATTTTATGTTTTTTTCATGCTGTATATTCAGTATGATATTCTGTTTAACTCTTTATATATATCTCTGTTTTTAATGTACTTTAAATATTATCTTTATTGGTTGGTGATATTTATTAAATATGTTTTATTTATGCAATAGTCTTGTGTGTGATTTGGACCTGTAGTAGAGGGCCCTGTGCTTGTAAAGTCTAACATGTTATGAATTTTTGGAACAGGAGGGAATAATCTATGGCATCAATGAAAAATTATTTTGTATGAAACTTAAACTCGTCTTCTTTCTTCCCTTGCAGGATTCAGAATATTCCTAGATGGCAACTATCTGGATATAATTTTATGCATTTGTAAATTGGATAGTAATCTATACATAATTTCAATATGTAAATTAATTAAATAGGTTTAAAATATATATATAATTTATTGGTCGTATCATTTTAATAAAGGTCAGATGTATCTATGTGTTTCTCTGTGTCCTTATTAGATGTGGAAAGGCTGTTACGATTTAAGTGCCATAAAGGCATGCAGGGCCCTTCCAGACAGGCCCTATATCCCAGTATCTGATCCCAGGTTTTCTGCTTTAAACTGGATTATATGAGTCCGCACTGCCAGATAATCTGAGATAAACAGAAAACCTGAGATATAGGGTCTGTCTGGAAGGGCCCTAAATTTCATATGAACTTAAAAGCTGAGCAAGGTCAGCCCTGGTTGGTCTGTGGATGGGAAAGCAAAAACAAAGAGCAGATGCTGTATACCAGAGCTTTCCAAATATGTCATGTTGGCGTGACACACAGTTAAGACATGCATCATTTTATGACACAGTAATTCAGTTTTACTAGCAAACTGGTGGTTTAAACAACCCCTTGTAAGAGATTCGAATACATACAAATACCGTAATAACAAAATGTGTGGAGATACAACATATCTCATATAAATCTTTCATTTACATTTTAAAACTATATTATTTATTGCTTATTTCACATAGACTCAAAGGTTTCTATTTACATTCTCATGACACGCCTATACACTTCAGCCGACACACTAACGTGTTGGGACACACAGTTTGAAAAGCTCAGCTACAGGTTGTATTTCAGAGAAAGGGATTGACAAAAGCATCTCTGAGTATTCCTGCTAAGAAAACACCATAACATCCCCCCACCCAAGATGGATGAGGTCCTAACAGTTTGATGTTATGGACATGTTTCACTGCAGTATATCAAAAAGTGAGTAGGACACCTCTGCTACAGTTTCTACATTTCCAGTCACACCCTGTATGAGTCAGTATTTCTCCTCTAAGAGTCTCCAAAAGGAGGTGATAAGGAGCTTTAAAAGCTCTTGTCCACTCACACATTATTACACAATTCATTCATGCAGTTAACTGCCCTGAGATGTGGTTAAAGGTCACTAGTTTGTATGGACTCAGAAGGAGAACAGACAACTTAATGGAGATATAGGTCCATCTATGATTACTTACTATGATGTTTATGGAGCACCTCCATGGGCCACTTGGTACCTGGTGAACATCTTTCCTTGTTTTCAGTACAACTGGGGGCATGTGGTTGAGTCACTGTGGAAAGATGAACTCCCGGTGTGACCCAGCTGAGGTCACCTCCAACATGTGGGTTCATTTCCGCTTTGTGGAGGCAAACTTTCCTGTGTCAGTGGTTCTCAACCTTCCTAATGCCGTGACTCCTTAATATGGTTCCTCGTGTTGTGGTGACCCCCAACCATAAATTATTTTTGTTACCACTTCACAACTGTAATTTTGCTACTATTATGAATTATAATGTAAATATCTGATATATGGATGTATTTTCATTCACTGGTCCAAATTTGGCACAAATAACCAATACACCCAAATTTGAATACTGGTGGGGTTGCGGGGGATTGATTTTGTCATTTGGAAGTTATAGTTGCTAGGATTTATAGTTCGCCTACCATCAAAGAGCATTCTGAACTCCACCAACAATGGAACTGAACTAAACTTGGCACACAGAACTCCCATGACCAACAGAAAATATTGGAAGGGTTTGGTGGGCATTGACCTTGAGTTTGGGAATTGTAGTTCACCTACATCCAGAGAGCGTAGTGAGCTCAAACTGACAATGATGGATCTGGACCAAACTTGGCATGAACACTCAATATGCCAAAATGTGAACACTGGTGGAGTTTGGGGGAAAGAGACTTGACATTTGGGAGTTGTCATTGCCAGGATGTATAGTTCACCTACAATCAAAGAGCATTCTGAACCCCAACAATGATAGAATTGGGCCAAGCTTCCCACAAAAAAACCCTCATAACCAACAGAAAATACTGTGTTTTGTGGTGGTCTTTGGCAACCTCTCTGACACCCCCTTGCAACCCCCCAGGGGTCCCAACACCCAGGTTGAGAAACACTGGTAGTGTAGATAAATGTGACATTGCTACATCTGAAGATGTACAGCCAGCCCTCAACATTCACTAGGGCAAGGGGTGCGAGACAAAAGACAAAAAAGGTGGCAGGTTAATCTAGATTGGGCCTCAAAGACAAGGGTGGGGTGGCTGCCATTTAAAAAAAACTTCCTAAAATTGAACTTCTTTCTTAGAGGCTTTCTGAAGTGAAAGAGAGGTTGTATTTTTACAGGGGAAAAATTGAGGAAATGCTCCCATGATCTACAAAGGGGACATGGGAAACCCTGACACCATAGTCACCATCCCTTCTTTTCATTATGATGCCTCTGGGTTGACAACTGGAGCAATGGAGAAAAGGCAGATTTGTCTTTTAGGCCTATTCTATACTGCCATAGAATGCAATTTGAAACTGCATTTTATGGTCAGCATAGACTCCTATAATGCCATTTAACTGCACATTTAACTGCATTATATGAGTCTACACTGTCCATATAATGCAATTTCAAGCTGCATTATATGGCAATGTTGATGAGGTTGCCGTCCTCCCAGGTATTGCTTGTTTTCATTGTATTAAAGCACAAGAAGTGGTCCATTGACTGATGATATGCCCATCAACAATTCACAAATGAAAACCAAGATGCATGTGGATAAGCAACATCAGAGTGTGGTCATGCTAACAGTTATTGAGGGAAATAACTAACCTCACCTGGACTACTGTGTCCAATTCTGGGAACCGTAATTTAAGGGAGATGTTGACCAGTTGGAAGGTGTCCAGAAGAGGGTGACTAAAATGATCAAGGGCCTGGAGAAAAAGCCCTATGAGGAGCGGCTTAAAGAGCTGGGCATGTTTAGCCTGCAGAAGAGAAGGCTGAGAGGAGACATGATGAGACTCCATGTATAAATATGTGAGGGGAAGTCATAGGGAGGAGGGAGCAGGCTTGTTTTCTGCTGCCCTGGAGACTAGGACTCGGAACAATGGCTTCAARCTAGAGGAAAGTAGATTCCACCTGAACATTAGGAAGAACTTCCTAACTATAAGGAGAGCTGTTCAGYAGTGGAACTCTCTGCCCCGGAGTGTGGTGGAGGCTCCTTCTTTGGAGGCTTTTAAGCAGAGGCTAGATGGCCATCTGTCAGGGATGCTTTGGATGCGATTTTCCTGCTTCTTGTCAGGGGGTTGGACTGGATGGCCCACAAGGTCTCTTCCAACTCTATGATTCAATGAAAAATACAAAAGGCTTGGGGAGGCTGCAGTAATTTCCTCTCTCCAGAGCCTACTGGGAAGGGCAACATGCAAATCCCTTCCACCTCACCCTTCCTCTACTGAGTTAGCTGAATAAACTATATTTACACTTTGCTATCGGTTTGCAGCAACTGAGGATAAAAGGGAAAGTGGGGGGACGTTTCAAAAGCAGCTGAAAAGTCATAATTAATTGGGAACAACAAAACAACAAACTTTATTATGGTGCATGGATCCCCATCACCTAAATATATAACATACACATTGGGACAGTTGGAGCTTATGTGACAGGGATACTTCCATAATGTCCTGTGTGCATTTCCTCAGAAATAAGTCCTCTAGAGTTCATTGTGTCTGGGCAATCATAAATACAGAAAGCAAGCATGGTGTAGTGATTTGAGTATTGGACGGTGACTCCAGAGAGCAGAGTTCAAATGCGAGCTCAAGCGTGGCCACCCACTGGGTTAACCTGGGGAGGCCACACCCTCTCAACCTCAGGAAGGCAATAAAACCTCCCGAGTACATCTTGCCTTCATTAAAAACACCCTGCTGCGATTGGTTCGGCTTTGGGCTGCCTTAAGTTGGAAATGACTTGAAGGCAACAATAACAACAGCAACATCATAAATATGTTATTTGAAAGTCTGGGCCTTACTGTCAGTAGCCACACGCCACCCCAAGGTTATTCTCAACCCATTCCCTTTCTCTTCTGAATGTCACCAACGTGCCTTTACCTACATGTCAGGACTTATTGCCTCTAGCAAGCCATGTCTGGGCTCCTCTTTCGCAAGAGCTTTGTTTCTCCACCTTCCAGGAAACTCCACCTCAGAGGCAGAACACCAGGAATGTGCTTCCTACAGAGGCCAAAAGTTAAAGAGCCCGTCTGCCAAGGCAGCGCTGACACAGCGAGTGACTAAGCCCTGTCATAATGCCGGAGACCTTCAGCCAGAAGATCTCAGCAGGAAGAAAGAGCCGCAGGCCCGATCGCCTTCCAGTCGAAGCTGCCTCCAGTCCCAAATGAGGAATGCCCAGCCTTCGTAATCTCCTCCTGCCCCATTACAATTTTGCTCTTTCTGATGTTTCTCAACCCTGAGTCACGGATATCTGATGGCTCTTCCTTCATCTCTGGCTGAACAAAGCAAATTTTATGTTACTTCTGTCACCTTCAGCATGATGCCTCATACACTGAACAAATCACAAAGGATTGTCGAAGGCTACCACACAATCTCTGAGGATGCCTGCCATAGATGTAGGTGATACCTCAGAAGAGAATGCTTCTGAAACATGACCATACAGGCCAAAATTTTACAACAACCTAAGTCACAAAGGTCTTTTTTTATTTCCTAGAGCCTAGAAGTTGTCGCCCACAAATGCACCTTTTCTAAGCTCTGAATTTTCCCATGTTCATTTTAATTATTTTCTTTGCTGGCCTTATCTGTGTTACATTAAAAGAAAGTGTGGGCTTTCCATCTTCATTCCGTTACTCACGTGTAAGGGTTATCTCCCTCCCAGGTCACTGTGATAAAATTAAAATGCTTTGAAGTCCAGACCCTATTTTTTATTTTCCATAAGTCCTGAGCGAAATATCTGAGATAGGTGCACAGGACTACTTAAACACAATTGTTGTTGTGTCTCTTAAAGTAATTTCTCACTAATGACAACCTCAAGGCAAACACAGGATGTTCTTGGAAGAATGTATTCCGCGAGGTTATGCCCTTGCCTTCATCTGAGGCTGAAAGGACAAATCCAAAAGAGACAGTCAGAATATAGAATTTGTTGTTGTAAATTGTGTGACTAAGAACACATATTGAGGGTGCATTCCTCATCCAAGGGG